CTTACATACATTTTTGTTCAAAAAATGCGGCGTGCCCACCCACTTGTATAGCACCGGTTCTACTTATGATTTGTGCTTATACCTATTGCGGTGGGCACGCGGCGGCGCGGCAGTCTGCTCGCCTGGCATGTTCGGAAATCCGGTGGCCAAGTAGGGAGTGTAGGCAGTCTAGGGGGTGGGGGCAGTCACTTGACATGCGTGAAAAGCTGGAATGTTCGAGTTTACACTGTCTCGCTCGAGAGGCCCAGGTGAGCAGACTGCCGCGCCGCCGCGTGCCCCCCCCCAACTAAGTTAGCACCGTTTCAGTTCGTTGCTAATGGGTTGGGGGACACGCGGACCGGACGCGGCACTGCTTGCTCCACTTCAGAATCTGCCTGAACCAGGGAGTGAGGCAGTCGCGCTGAGAGGAAAAAAGTTGAGAGAAACAAAGCTGCAAGATCAAAGGTGCGACCGTTGCCCGTGGGTCCCATCCCCTCCCCAATCCTTCATTATACGGCCCCTGATGTCCAATTTCAGCGACCGCACAATATAAGATACGTATAGATGGTCGGACGATCTAGGATAGGCACTTGCGATCGTTACGATCGCTGCGATCGGGACAAGCCGGCAGAAAATGCCAGGATAGACCAGACGTGCTCCCACCCGCGTGCCTTGTTATAATCTGGTGGAATTATTCTCTATGGCTTCCCCGTTCAGAGCCTAAGCTCGTAAAAACCGTGAGTGTGCGCCATATGTTTTTTTTTGGCTTGTTTCGACAAGGCTCCTTGGAATGATTTTAATTCAAACGGACAGGTACTAATTGCTCCATAACTTCACACTGCTGCTTTTTGTTTGATCTCTTCTGCTTTGTTTTTGCTTGACTGCGCTAGATATCATTAAAATTCACAATTTCACGACTCGGAAGAGAACATTTTGATATTACCACCACGAGCCGGACAGGCCGGAATAGCCGCCGAGATGAATCCTCCAATTTAACGTCAAGGTTCACTAAAAATTATCCCGAGCAGAATTTGCCGGTTGCCAAAATGGAGCCGTGCAGTGGACGCGACACTGTCATTTCATTCGATCATATCACCATATTCCACATAAGTTCGTTTATACATATTGCACTCAGAAACATCCCTTTTTGTGTTGTAGCAGGTTTTCTCAATGATTTCGAGGCAGCCGGAAACTGACAGTGAGGTTTTGCCTTCGTTCTAGGCACTCATCTATTAACCCCTATCACGTTCTGTTCGTCTTATGTGATTTTTGCGCCTCGTTCAACCAGTTTTTATTTTGAAATTTTCTCTTCAGGTAATTCAACCTCCTTGGCCCCAATATGACGTTTTTCCATTTTATAAACTGTGTGACTCTTGCATATGCTCCCTATTTCATCGCCTACAAATATTCAGGTAAGGGAAGGCCTGTTCAAAGATAGGTCCCTATTCGGTCAAATGTCCGTATGGCACTATGAAAATTATCTTTTGGTCGCGCTGGTCTCATTCTTCTATTTGAGGTCTAAACGAATACAGTTCATTTTGGCGATGTGCACAAGCAAGTGGTGGTTATTTTTTAACCCAGTTGATTAAACTACTACTCTTGGCTACCTTCTTTCCTGCTGCAGATGCTGAGGGATTCGCAGTTCTCCCGGTATGTTTCAGTTGCTTTGAAAAGGATTGAACTCTTTACTGCTGTTGGTACACATGTGTACCACTTCCGTAGTCAAAGTAGTGGAGTAAGTCGTGCCGCAAGTTACTAGTCAGTGTGGGCAACTCCTAAAAGGTTCCAGAAGGTGATTTTCAAGTTGCACATATTCCTAATACTGAAATGTGCTCTTTTGAAAAAGCAATTAAATTGCCAAATCATATTTCAATAATATTAATTTGAGCGGAGATGCCGTACCACACGCATGGCCCCTCCGTCAAATCCCAGGTCAAATCCAACATACTTCAGCTAAATTTCTATAAATGATTAGCTGTTCTAGAAGCGATAGCTATTACGCAAAGCACATCAATAACTTTATTTTTATAAAGTCGTAGCCTAATGGTCAATTCACTTATCTCTGCCATTGTGTTCAGGAGCTGCTGAAGAGCAGTGCTGACGTTGTTGATGTCATTGGCATGCATTTGGTTATGACACACCTGCTCAATGGAAAAGGAGAGGTCAGTTAAATTTTGTCTTGGTTCTGTTCGCAATCGAATTCTTTGCAACACTGCAGATCATAGATCTTAACATTCAAAACTACTAGTTTTACCTGCTCGCGTGTCTATCCAGGCTTTCCTCAAAGCTTTCGGCACTATTGCACTATTACTGCCCCAAAATCTCGAAGTTTTATTTTTTGTCGCAACTCCGCTCATAGGTGTAATTAGAGGCTCTGATCACCATGGTATTCAGTTTTGACGCTGGCGTTATTGCCGTTACTTTGTCGTGGCGGCAGTTTTTATCGATTCGGTATAGGCATGTACATAGGGGTTACTTGGTGCCATGGTTGCGGATATCACATTCGTTATTTTATTAGCACTGTCTAACACACATTTGCTCTCTCACTTAGCCCTCTCACTTGCAGTGCCTAACCGGGAAGGTCTATCACTCGTGCCCAGCTTTTGGTCGACGGACTACTTGAACTCAGCCCTTTACCGCCTCTGCGCTCTCTAGCGGGTCCCTCTCCTCTCCAAGGCTTAGTCCTAGGGCATTCTCTAATCGTCTGTGCTCTAGCCATCGCGGCAGGACCATTGAGGAAAAATCAAGTAGTCCGTAAA